TCCCTGCTCCCTAAGCCTAGAACTTACCAGTAGCCCACAGCTAGTCGCATGGATGCCCCTGTGCCAGGATGCTGGTGAGGCTCACCCTGTCACCCTTCTGTCTCCTGGACGAGAAGTGTAGGGAGAGCCACCCAATGGGAGCCATCCATCTGAAATCGGGGGAGTGTCTCTGCCCCCACATCAACAGGGACCTTGATAGGACATAATGGCTGCTCGCTGAAGGCCTAGCCCCATGTGATGAACCTTTTGTGCCCCACTTTATTGGACCCTCTCTCCAAGCTTGGGAGTCAGAACTACAGCCGGATCCATGACACAGGTGACAGACAGAGGCTCCCAGAAGTTAAGTGACTTGCTCCAACAGCTCAGAAGTGGCAGGGTGGGGAACTAGACTCAGGCTATGGGGCATTGGGTGTGAGGTCCTCAACCTCTCCCAGGTTCTCCCTGAAGGCTTCCGCTCCTTCGCCCTCTGACCGCCTAAAACCCTCTGTCTGAACCACCCCAATTAGCTCTCCTGACCCTATACTTATGCCATGAGTGGTTAGAAGCAACAAAGCAGCAGGCGAAACCCAGACCTTGGGTCCTGGACAGCCTTACCCTCTCTGATCCCCAGGTACCCGGGGAGGGGAACCCACACCACCTCCCAGGGCCGGGGAGGGGCTTAAATGAGCTCTGAGCATAGTGCCTGGTTCAAGGCAATCACTCAATTAATGATACCTTCAGAATGCTGGCTGCAGACTTGTCTGTCTGTCTTGCTCATCTGCCTGCAGAATCCCTGAGGGAGAGCAGCAGGCCCTCCATCCATCCCCACCCTCGCTACCCAGCCTGGGGCCTGCAGCACACGGCCAGGACTCGATGGGCACGAAAACACTCACTGCCCCCAGCAGAGACCCGGAGAAGGGAAGAGCTGTGCCCCACCCCCCCATCCCAGAGGAGGAGCCGAGCTCTCCCCACAATTCCCAGCTCCCAGCCTTCCAGCTCTAATCAAGGAGCAAACACAAAGAGGGAATCTCTAAACATTTAGAAAACGCGGGAACTCTGTGCCCCCACGTGGCGCCGTGGGGATTTATAAAGAACAAATCATGCCTGACAAACTTGATAGCTTTCTTGATAGAATTACAAGACCGGTAGATGAAGGAAATGCAGGCAGGGTAATATATCTTGATTTTTAGCAAAGCATTTGATACAGCGCCTCAAGTAATCTTACAAAATTAATTCAAACAGACTTGGCCCTAAGCACTTGTCATGGGGCCGAAAGCAGGAGGGGGTAGGTCCCAAGGGTCCTGAGCGAAGGAGGTGAGCCCAGGGGGAAGGGGCTGCAGGACAGAGTCTGGGAGTGGGGGCAGGGCTGCCCAGACCCGGCACTGGGTCAGATCTTATCCGACATCTTCATTAATGATCCTGAGAGAGGGAGTAAACAGTCCGTTAATGAAATTTGCAGAGGATATTAAATTGGAAGGTGTTGTGAACACCAATGAGGACAGCAAAGCGGTCCAGAGAGACCTGGCAGGGGAAGAACCTTGGCAGGAAACTGCTATTTGGTGGGGGTGGGGTGGGGTGGGGTGGATGTGTGGGCTGGGCAGCACCTGGGGCCACCCGGAGAGCCAGGGAAGAGGGAAGGGCATCCCCAGTACCGGGGTGGAGCTGGGAGCGGCCGCGGCTAGCCGGGGTGCGGGTCACGGGAGCAAACCACAATCTTGGTTTTCCCATCTGTAAAACAGAAGAAAGGGCTGGTAGATATGGAGGGGTCTCAGACAGCTGGTCGTGATGGGGCGTGAGGGAGCGAGCTCAGAGCTGAAGCCCACCTTACAGGAGGGGAGCAAGGGTTATCTACAGGCCAGGGAGAGGACGGTGGCAAGGCAGAGAAGGGCTGGTGAGGGAGACTGGCTGAGCCATCCCTAGTGCCCCCAATGTCCCCGAGCCAGGGCTCTGACACTGCCGGGGCAGGTGCTGCGGGGTAAGGGGGCCCCCTCTCCCAGCTGGCTGGACAATGACACATCCGCTGGGGGCTCCGGCTAGAGCCCCGAGCTGTCCAGACTCGCAGGGTGTGCTGGGAACACTTCGGCAATAGAAGTTCTAACCTGGAGGGTGGAGTGCGGGAGGGCAGGGTCTGTTTTCTTTCTGGAGAGTTCCTGATCCCACTTTCATCAGGAAGTTGGGGCCTCGCCAAAATCAGGAAGAGCTGCCCCACCCCAGACTCTTCTCTCTCTCCTCAGAGCCTGGACCTGTCCTGCCCCTCTCCCTCTGGCCCGATCCCAAGGAGGCTGAGGCAGAAAGCTGCCCATCCATCTGGACTTGGAGAATTTGTTCCCACAAGGCTCCTAGACAGGTGGGGTTTGAACAGGAGCCAGGCCTCCCTAGCACGGTGACGGGCCCTCAGCAACCTAAATAAATGCTTTGTGGGAGGAAGAAGTGGATGGCTGGTTCCCAGCCGGGGCAGCTGGGGGAGGCTCTTCCAAAGCAAGAGGCCAGCCCTGCCTGATGTCAAGACCACGCGCCCAAGAGGATAGACCCAGGTGACCACACAGGCGGTGCTCCTTCCAACCCCCTGAGTTAATAATAATGACACTTACTGAACATTCGCTATGGCTCCGTTATGAGTGAGCTCCTCATATCAACATATTTAACCTTCACAGCCCCCCGCCAAGAGGTAGGTGCTCTTTCCTCCCCATCTCACAGAGGAGGAAAGTGAGGCATAGGGCGGCAGCGATGAGCCTGGACACCTAGCCAGGAGGCCCATGCAGAAGTAGCAGTCTGCCAAGAGCCGCAAGGAAAGCTGAGCAGCTCCCGATGGGGAGACCCCAGTGTGGGGAGCGGCAGCCCCTCCTGCAGCGACCCCAGAGCCTTGCCCAGCCTCTCCCGGCCCCCATCAAAGGGAGTTGGCCCAACTCCTGCCACACTTGTGGAGCCCGATTTTACTATATGTTTCTCTTCTCCCCCACCACTGCTGCGCTACCCGAGTCCTCAGAACAAGTCTGTTTCCATGGAAACCATACAGTGACTCAGGGCTTCGGGACCTTCTCTGAACCAGATTATGAATATCGAATGCTTCCTCCCCGCACCAATGCAGAGTGAGTTAGAAAAGTAAAGAGAGAGCCACAGTGGGCAAAGGGAAGGAGACAGGGGCGTAGGCAAGGGGAACCCAGACGGGTACAAGCCTGCCCCCCACCCATGAAAACCAGCCTTCTGGGCCCCTCTGCAGACTCAGGGGAGCACAGATGTACATCTGTGTGTGTCTGCAGCCAGCAAACACGACCCCTACATCAGCACCATGAGCACCACCCTTCCTCGGGAACTAAGACCCTGTGGGTGGGGGACAGGGAGGTAAGGGGGATCTGCATCCTTCCTACTTGGGGCGTGAATGTGGCAGAGGTAGCTGAGAGGCCAGGGAGGAGGAAAGCTGTCTGCAAGAGGAGCTTGACTTCCAACGTCGAGGAGGAAACCTCTGGCCAAAAGCACTGCAATATTTAGCAAAGAGGGAAATTTGGATTTTCAGGGGGAAGTGTGTTTCTGCTTTGAGATGAGGAGGCTGTTAAGTATTATGTGCCAGGAGGGGGGCGTGACCAGGATTTCAAAGCCCCAGCAGGGTTGTGTGGATCATTAGCAGAGACTTCCTCCCCGTTGCCCCCACCCTGGCCTGGCCTAGGGCAGCTCACCTGCCCCAGTGGAGACATAGCAGGGAAATGAAAGTTTGTAGTGCCAGGCTCCTGGCCTCCCACAGGGGGCTAAGGCCCAAGGGCAGCAAATCCACCCCCTCCTTTCGCCAGCTGTCCCTGAAGACCCAGGAAGGAGGGGAAGAGAACAGGTTGGCGGCTTGATACCTCCCTGGTGAATCCAATGTGTGAGTCATGTCGGTGAGAACACTTGGAAAAAAGAAACAGGGTCATGGTGATGCCTGTGAGTGTCCCCAGTTGCTGAGGACTGGAGCCTTGGAACCGCCTGCCCAGGTAAGGTCTCTGCCTAAGACAGCCAGCCCCATCGTAAGGGATCCAGAAAGCCCCAAAGATGGGTACCTGGTACCATAGCCCCCACCAGCTTTCCTCTTAATACCTACAGTTCCTTTGGCTTGCCAAAGCAGCTACTTTCCCAGCCAGGGGGCCTGCCCCCTGCCCCTAATCCTAGGTCCCCTCCGCTCCCTGCCCTACCAGCCCTCCAAAAGATGCAGGGCTCAAGGCTGTCCTTCTTAGGAGCCTCCTGCTTAGGAACAGTGTTCAAGTCCGTCGGAAGGAAACCTGCAGCAGAGGTGAGGAACCTAATCCTGGGAACCCGCAGGTCTGGGATGGGGGAGGGGGCACCCTGGGGCATGGCAAATCAGGCCAAGGTGCCACCCTAGGACGATCCTCAGGTCTTACCTTTTAACCCCTAACAGCCTGGCCAGGGCTACTCAGGGCTATTACTGTGAAAGCAAGCATTGGGTTCCTGGAGCCTGGGAGGGGCTGCTCCGGGGTGCAACCCAGAGAAGAGCAGAAGGGTGGTTCTGCCTTCCCGTAGGGGTCTCTGCACCATCCATCCGGCTCAACGCTGAGTGATTGGTGCGGGCTCGGAGCCGGGCCAGGGGCAGGAAGCCAGGGGCAGCCCCCTGCCTCCGGGCGCAGCCCTGGTTTGGAAAGTTGGTGCAGGCGTGGGACCTCAGGGTCTCGAGGCGCCTCAGCAGCCCCGAGCCGGGCAGACTGTGGGACGCTGAGCCCCGGGCAGCCCCCGAGTGCGCTCCGCAGCAGCGGGGAGCGGGGCGCCTCGGGGCCGCCGCGCGTCTCAAGTTTGCTGCCCTCGCCGAATGGGGGCGGGGAGGTCTGGGGGGTCGCGGCGTTCACCCGCCACCCGCCCCGGGGAGCCCTTCCTGCGCCCAAAGCGCTGCTGGCCTCCACCCCCGCCTCCCCGGCCCGCACCGCCGGCAGCGACTGTCCTCGAGCGGAGGGGCGTCTCCCACCGCGCCCGCGCCCCTCCCGCTGCTGCGGCGAGGGTCTGCTCCCGCCCGCCCGGGGCCCGCCGGGCCCGGCCGATACCTGGTGAGGGGCGCACCGGGAGCCGCTGTAGCGCCCCGCGCCGGCTCCATCCTCGGGTCTGGAGTCAGGCTCGCCGGGGGCCGGCGGGTGGCGGCGGCGACATCGGCGGCGGCATCCTCCGCCTTCCGCGCCCTCCTCCTCGGCCTCCCTCCTCCCTCCTCTTCCACCGCCTCCGCGCGCCCCTCACGGGCCCCTCTTCATGGCCCGGGGGCGCGAGCCCGGGACGGCCCGGCCAGACCAGAGCGTTCTCCTGGGCAGGGCGCGGGACTGGGGACCCGGGCGCGAGGGCCCGAGGGGCGCCGGGTCAGGGACCGGGACCCAGCGCGCCGCAGCCCCGGGCGCCGGAGGAGAGCAGCAGCCGCAGGCGCCGGAGCCTCTCGCCGAGCGCCCGCCCGCCGGCCCGCCCGCCTTGCGACCCGAGCGCGGAGCGGCGGCGGCGACGGCGGCGGCGGCTATAGCGCCGAGCGAGCGGCTGGAGCTGCGGTCCGGGCTCCACCCCCCCGAAGCCGCCCGCCCCTCGGCTGCCGCCCGCCCCCTGCTCTTCCCCACCCCTCCAGCGCGCGCCCTCCCGCTCCCCGCGCCGCCCCGCGCGGCCCCAGCCTCCAGCGCTCCGGACGCCCCTCCGCAGGCCGGCTCCCGGGCCAACCCCCACCCCCCCACCCCACCCCCGCCTGGAGGGAGCCACACCCACACCCCGGGGTTCAGGGGGTAGGCTAGCGAGGGCGGGGGCTGCCCACTGACACCTCTTCCCCTACCTTCCCAGCCCTCCCACCGAGGGCGCTCACGGAGGACCTTCTGCCTGAGTGCCCCCCAGGAAGTCCGGCTGGAGCCCCAACCTGGCCCCGGGCCCAGATGTCCTCTACCCCGTCCCCAGCCAGCACAACGGAGGGACTCCAGAACCCAGAACGGGAGCCATCCACCTTTCGGTGCCAACACCCCCAAGACACACCCCTAGCCCGTTACCCTCCACCTTTACCTCGCAGATGTGGAAATGAATCCTCTGCCCTGCTCCAGTTGTGCCTCTTGGGAAGGGTCTGGGGGTGGCTTGGGGGGGCAACCCTAGGTGGATTTGCTGGGGACAGTCTCCAGGCCAGTCCCACCCCCTTCCCACCAAACTGCCGCGGGCACTCCTAGGTGGAAATGTGCAGCCACTGCAGCCCTTCCGGAGGGGAGGTCTGCGCTCACAGCCAGAGCCAGTTCTTCGTTCTTTGCACAAATATTGACTGAGCATCTCCCGAAGGCCAGGCCTACATGGGCACCAGGGACTCATTGGTGACAAGACAAACGACCCCTGGCCTCTCCGGAGTGGAAGGGAGAAGCAGGGGAAGCAGGCCGAGAACCACGTGATCAGCAGCCCCTGGGCTGGAGAGCAGGGCAGAGAATCCCAGTTCTGCCCCTACGGAGGCCTGTTTCCTCATCTGCAGAGGGGTAGGTGGTTGTACCAACAACCCCGTGCTGCTCCTCAGCTCCGACCAAACAATTATCTTCTCAGGCCGGGAAAGGCAGTCAGCTTCCATCTGCACCCATGTCTGAATCTCGGATTTCCAGCTGTAGCCTCTCCATCAGTCCCGGACTCGCCCCAGAGCCACGGAGGGTTTGAAAACTCCAGGCAGCCGGGGAAAGCCTTGGCACCTGTTTCCTGGTCCGGATGATGGAGATCCTCACCTCCTGGGACCAGATGGTAAGGTGCATGTAAGCACTCGGCACAGTGTGTGGCACATGGCGAGTGCTTAATAGGTGCACCCTGTTGTTACTGTTACCGGCTGGTGGGTGTTCAGGGTAGCCGTCACTCACTCACTCACCCAGGGGATCATGGGGGCCCTTTACTTCTCTGGGGGACCCAGGACTCAGACCATCAAGAAACTCTCTCCACCTAGAACCAGATGGTAGGAAGGCCCCCGCCCCTAGGATCCCACCAGACCAAGGGTCATTTGTCTTGGTCACAATTGCAAATTCTTAATTGTAAATCCGCCCCCCCAGCCCATCCACCTCGAGTCTGGCAGTGGATCCCCATCAAGCCGGGGTGTGACCCAGTGTGATCCCTGATCATCTCTGGTGTGTTTTCCTGCCCTGCCTCTGCCCCACCTGCCCTCCACCCACCACAGCCAGGAGGATGGCAGTTCCGGTCCTCCAACCCGATTTCAAGGTGACTAGATCCGTTTCCCAGCCGGCCCCCCACAGAGTGACAGTGCTCTGGGATGGCTCACAAGAGTGCTGACCTTCCAGAAGCAAGGACTTTGTGTTTCAAAATTCCATTTGTCGCTCTGTAGAAAACCAGCCTCTAACAGCGCAGAGCTGAGCCATCAGAACCTGCACTTTCACCCAAAGCTAATCCCTCCCTGAGACTTCGTTCGGCCTGACAAGAATAGTCAGGGTTTAGAGAACACCTCTATCTCACACTCTCAGATCCAGCCCCTCATTTTTCAAATTCTGGTGTATTTCAGGTAGAAAGGAGGGAAATGTACATCTGGCTGACATGAAAAGATTGGTGTGGTTGTAATGTAAAGACAGAGTGGAATTTGGAATTCTTTTTTTTTTTTAAGATTTTATTTATTTATCTGACAGATGGAGAGACAGCGAGAGAGGGAACACAAGCAGGGGGAGTGGGAGAGGGAGAAGCAGGCTTCCCACTGATCAGGGAGCCCGATGCAGGGCTCGATCCCAGGACCCTGGGATCATGGCCTGAGACGAAGGCAGACGCTTAACGACTGAGCCACCCAGGCGCCCCTGGAATTCTTTTTTTTTTTTTAAGAATATTTAAACTCTGAAAATAAACATAGGTCCTGGTCCCAGGAACACCAAGATTCTGTTTCCAGTTTCCTGAAATCTCCCAATTAATAACAAGCATGTGTGTTTCATGTGCACCTACTCTGTGCACTGTACTGTGGCAAGTGACATGGTGGGGGACCGGGGGGCGGGGGGGGGGGGGAAGAAGAGGCAGAAAACAAAAGCAAAGACCTTTGCTTGGGGAATTGGGATCCCAGACAGTGAAGTGGGAAAGAACCTTTGTGGCCAATGTGATCAAGTGCACAATAGGTAGCCTTGGAAGTCAGAGGAAGATGGAGCCTTGGGGAGTTGTTCAGGGAGAGCTTCCTGGAGGAGGCAGCAGTTAAACTGAGGCTTGAGGGATGGATAGGGTATAAAAAAGCAAAAGAGCAGGAGAGCCTGTGAGAAGCAGCACTAGCCAGACGGCTTATTTGTGTGATAATAGAAAGGTTAATATTAGTGGCTAATGTTTGAGGTCTTACCTCGTTCCAGCTGTGCTGTTTGCTTTGTGTGGATTATTTTGTTTAACCTTCAAAACAACCCTAGGAAGGAGGTGTTCCCATTCCCACTTTACAGATGAGGAAACTGAGGGCCAAAGAGTTTAAGCAGCTTGCCCAGGTTTGCAGAGCTGATGAGCAATGGAGCCAACCCTGGAGCGAGCCGTCTGGCCACGCACACTCACCCTCTGCCGGGCCTCAGTCAGCCAGCCCAGCTAGTCGGGGTGCCCGCAGGGAAGAGCAGGAGGAGAGGGCCTTCAGAAGCCCCCAGCCCCCAGAGGGGTTTTCCTGAAACAGAGCCCCCAGGCCCTCCTGGAGAATTCTAATATGAAGCATGCTCTTTCCTCTCCTCAGCATGCAGGCACCTGGGTGTCTGGAAATTGGTTAAGGGATTTGGGGGCTCAAGATTTCAGCTTTTTAATATCTCTTGCCGGTCCATCCGGTGGCAGTCTGTGCCACCCACCTTGTGATTTCGGTCTATTCTGGGAGATTGATGGCCCAGGCTTTGATTTAAGATGTGCCGCCGCGGTCCTCAATTTCCCGTCTCACTGGTGACGCTGACAAGGCAGCGAACCCCGGGAGGATGGCTCCTGGCTCTTCCCAGACTGCAGGCCTGAGAGCCCGCGGCACCTGTAGAGAAAGTTCTGACCAGAAAATCTGGGTAGAGGCGGGCAGGCCCAGTGGACCTGTCCTCTGGAGCCTCAGTTTCCCCACAGATGAAGTGGAGGGCCTGCTGCTGAGGAGGCCCGTTCGGGACAGTGGAGGAGCCCTCGGAGGCGAGCTTACCCAACTCCCTCATTTCATAGATGAGCAAACTGAGACCGAGAGAAGTTAAGTGACTTACCTTAATTTCCTATGGCCACGCAGGAAGTCAGTTGAGCCTTCAGTTGGGTCTCCTACTTTCCGAAGAATACGTCTCTTGTATACCTCTTCTTATCCCCTACTTCTACCCTGCTCTGGATGAGTTCCTCTTCTGGATAAATCAAGGGACCTGAGCTTTTTGGGGGTTGAAATAAAACAAATGTTTGAGGGTCTTACCGCGGGCCAGGCACTGGACTGGTCCCTCAGATATATGTGATCCCAGTTTTTCCTCATAAGATCCCCACGCATCCCTGGGCACAGAGGTCGCCAGGCCTTGCCGGCTCTTGGATTCAGAAAACCACATCATTTTGGCAAAAATTCCGGAATTCCTGTTCTTGCCCTTTCTTGCCCAATCAAGTCCTCAGCTGAAGCCCCTCGAGAAGCCACCCCAGTGGCCCACCTTCCGGGGTTTCTGTGAATCCCTCAGAAGAGTAGAGTATTGCTCCTAGACCAGCCTATGTGCTGCAGCTACCACTGGTCATCTGTCGAGTTTGTCTGCTCTTGCTCTAGAACTTGCCGGAAGCCACAAGGTGTTGCCCTACCTCCCGGATGAGAAGCCTGGTGGGGAAGCTAATGTCCAGGCGAAGGGGTGACTCCTGATGCCCCCAGAGCCCCAGACCTTGGGTGGCCAGAGGCGAGGAGAGCAGCATCTTCCCCAACACAGGAGTCCGAGGTCCCCAGGGCCAGGAAGCACAACTGCGTAGGCCCCAGAACCTCTCGACCAAGAGACTGTCCTGCTGGTGACTGCACCGTCCAACCACTGGCCTCGAAGGCAGGCTAAGGGGCCAGAGAGGAGGACACCGTTCCCTCCTTACTCTTTCTCTTCTTGGAGCCACTCCCAACAGACAGTCCCTCTCCTTCTCCAGTTACAGAACCAAATGGCCCCAGTAAATTAGAGGATGTCAACAAATCTTGGTGGAGGGGAGGAAACAGGGACACTAAGTGACTTCCTTCTGGTAAATAGCCAAGCCACAGCATAGCTGTTGCCCAGACCACCCTGGCCAGCCCAGGGCTCTGGCCC